GACTCCCAGGTCCCTCTCCACAGAGCTGCTCTCCAGCAGGTCACCCCCAACCTGTACTGGTGCATGGGGCTATTCCTCCCCAGGTGCAGTACCCCACACTTGCCCTCATTGAACTTCAACAGGTTCCTCTCTGCCCAACTCTCCAGCCTGTCCAGGTCACGCTGTATGGCGGCACAGCCTTCTGGTGTGTCAGCCACTCCTCCCAGTGTTGTGTCATCAGCAAACTGGCTGACGGTACACTCCATCCCTTCATCCAGGTCATTGAGGACTATATTGAACAGGACTGAAGTTCAAGTGATGTTTCTTCCTTTGGCCATGCCAGCCAAGTCTTCAAAGCTGTTCTTTGTTGGAACACCACCATGTATAAAAGCTTTCTTCTAGCATCTATCAGATGGGTGACTGTAAAGTTGAGGCTCGAAGCCATCCTAAATTAAGCCTAAAAAAATTAATTCTGGGTGACAAAAAAAGCCAACACCAAAAAACAACAAAACAAAAAGGGTTCTTCCCATGGACACATGAGAAGAGGATTTGAGGTACAGATTGAGACATCAATTGCAAGTCTTTCTGAATCCCAATTCTCCCCGATCTCGGAGCCTGAGTTGCCAAATCCTGGCTGATGCTGCGGGAAGCTGCAAGGCAGAGGAGAGCAACTCCAAGTAACTGGCTGGAACCGCGTTATCGAGCGTAGGGCTGTCTGACTTGAACATTGCAATTACTACATGAAACAAAGCACCGATAAAAATACTGTGTTTTCTTGCCATGCTTCATTTCCTTCTGGATAGTCTCAAAATGTCCCTGTTTGATTCTTTTCTTTGTACGACTTCAGTGAGTCATTGTGATCACAGTGCTTTGGCAGCATTTTGAAAAACTCTGAAATACAGAATATTTCCCTGAATTTGCCAAATATTTTACGTGGAAGCAGCTACACTCCAGGTAGTCTCGCCATGTGCTTCCTATTTTTTTTTAACTATTTATATATATGTATCTCCTTCCTGTAAGAGTCACTCATATTTTAAATTAATTGCCCAATGTTTTTTGGAGGAGCAATAGCGAACGTCAATCAGTCCTTTCCCCCTCTCCCCTAAGTGTTCACTTTTAGAGAACAAAGGAATCCTATTTCGGCCACATCCACAGACTATTTAAGATCCAGCATCCCTCTCCTTTTCCCGTGTCTATCTAAGCATCTGTTGGAAAATAAATCACTCACTCTGTAGTGGATACCAGGCATCGTGTAAGAGCGTATTTACTCCAATAGGTAATTTGCGGGGTTTTGTCAGTGATCGCTGGGGCATTACCCCAAGCAGATGTGTGAGACATGCCCAGGATAACTCGCCCAGGTGAATGCTAAGCTGTACGTATTTGGCAGAGTGAAGGATCTCATCGCTTCTGCTAAAATGGAACGTTGGAACCACTTTGCACATGGAGAGAGAGAGTATGTGCTACAAAAAAAGGACTGTTGAGCTGCATCTGCTGTCTTGATTTTCTTCTTGAGCGCACACGTACCTGTGTGGGTTTCCTAAGCTGTAGTTTTGTCTTTAGTTCCACAGTGACACTCGAGAGCCTTCCATTTCCCCACCGGGTTGTCCTCATCTCGACCGCCGCTGGCTGCTTTCCAAATGCAAGACACGTCTGCTCGTAAGGGAGCCCTTCCATGCTAGTTTTGCTTGGCCATTTTTTAAAAACACGTTTGCCTTGGCCACGCATTTTTTACTGAAAAAAGGAGGGTGTTTTTTTTGTAGAAGCTGCCGGTTTGGAGGAGGACGGTGCAGGTTGTGCCTCCTGCATTTAGATTTGGTGATGACACCCCGTTAGAGTTTCTCGAGCGCTTGCAGAGCCCTCTATCTCTGACAGCTCTTCCATTACGTGTGAAGAGTTGCTTAACGTGGGCATCTGGGGTTGGACATGTCCTGTTGACAAAGATTAATTGTTCAGACAGCTGCTGCTGTCCAGACATACATCACAGAGGTACACAGGCCATATGTTCCTTCGGCATTACTGCTGACCTGCCTCGGTGCTTAAAGGATGTTTTCATCTCCGATATTGGCCCCAGTGGCTAAAAGAGAGCGGGAGAAAACATCCTGCCCCTTGCTATCACCATCTTCTCTCTCTCTCAGTAGGTTACTAGCAGGATAAAAGCTGAGAGCAAATTTCTGGAGCGTTGTCTGTTTTACCCTTTTGGTTTCCAGGACACTTGTTTGGGTTCACCTTCATAAAACTTTGGATATCTAGATTTTGATTGATAATTCATTACGTCAATCAGACTGGGGCCAGAAACGGTGTCAGCTAGGCTGAAGAAGCAGAGCTCTTGAGCAGAGGACAGGTTTCCCTTTCTAAAGCCTCTGTTTCTGTTTGATTTTAAATTTTTAAATGTCATTTTCTTGGGGGCTGCACAGCTTTTCAGGGGGCTTTCAGGGCTTGAGAATGATCTTAATGGCGAGTGTGAGGGTAACAGAGCAGCGCGCGCCATGGCCGGCAGCAGGTCTCTCTCTGAAGGGCCATCCCGATTCCTGCCACTGCCGACATGGAAGGGGTGACTTCAGGGTCTGGTTTGAGGAGGGGGAGGCAGCAGAGAACCCAGAATCACAGAATGGTCAGGGTTGGAAGGGACCTCTGGAGATCATCTAGTCCAACCCCCCGCCAGAGCAGGGGCACCTCCAGCAGTGGCACAGGACGGCGTCCAGGCGGGTTTGGAAGGGCTCCAGAGGGGGAGACTCCCCCGCCTCTCTGGGCAGCCTGTGCCACTGCTCCACTACCCTCAAAGTAAAGAAGTTCCTCCTCATGTTAAGATGGAACTTCCTATGTTCAAGTTTGTGCCCGTTCCCTCTTGTCCTGTCACTGGGCACCACTGGAAACAGACTGTTCCCATCCCCCTGGCACCTGCCCTTTGGGGATTTGTAAGCGTTAATAAGATCCCCCCTCAGTCTTCTTTTCTCTAGACTAAAGAGCCCCAAGTCCCTCAGCCTCTCCTCATCAGAGAGATGACCCCACGCTCTTCACGAAGGACGGGGGCACTGTCGCCATTGCCAGGGTCCAAAGGCGTGCTTCATCCCCGCAGGTCTCCTGAACAGATTGCCGCTCGCGCCAAATCGTTTCTCCCATTTGTCTGTGTTATCAAACCCGTCGAGCTCCTTTTGATTTGTGACCCAGACTTCGCAGCCTCCATCTCCAGAGGCAGGATGGTAGCGTGGAGAGCGGGATGGCTTTGCTGTGGATTTTCCGCAGTCGCTGCTAATTGCTAGCATCCCTTGGGTGAATCAGCCTGCTTCTCCTGCCTGATTCATTCAGTGCCATCGTGATATGTTTGACATCACCATCATTTCTATGTTTAGTGAGTTATATATTTTTTTTAATGCTTTGTGACACTTTTAAATGAAGCAGGTAGAGAAAGTAGATTTTGGAAAACCGGGAACATCTGGTGCTTGCATGTTTGGTTCGGTAACTTTGCGAAATTAATACGCCGCTAAAGTGGAGAAGAAAAATTACACATTGAACTTGTAAGTTAACTGGCTGTAACTCTCAAGTGCTTGAAAATAAAGTTAGGATTGTCCTGTCGGTCTGACTGCGGATGGTTTCTCACGCCTGACGTGTTTCCAGGTCGTTCTGCTGGGGCACAGTGCAGCAAGAACAGGAGCAGGCTTTTGAGGTTGCTTTCTTACCGCATCCAAAGAGGCTTTTTTTTGGTCATTTAACCGCCCAATTAGTTGGCACAGCATAAACTTTATTACCCAGCAGTATGTGTGGCATTTGTTCTGCTGAGAAAAACAAGGATCCGGAGTAAATTACAGTCTCGGGGTTGGAAGAAAATTAGTAAGGGGGTATTCAGGAGGAGCATTAACTAGTGTCCTCTCCTCCTGTTCCCTGGCTAATCTGGCGCTTCCACTGCCACAACAGGTACTGTAACGATTACTGGCAAGGTGCAGAGTACAGCTTTAAGGAAAAGAAGATAAATACAAAATTCATCTTTAATTTTGTATTTGCATATTGTTTCTACTTCAGTCTGTGTAAGCTTAATCCTTTTCTGACCTTTTTTTCTCAAGTTCTGGCGAGTAGCTTAGGAAACGCAGCCTCCAGTGTACTAAGTGTCATCCTGTCTAAAATATTTAACAACACAACCTGCGCTCAGAAAGCAACACCTTTTTAACACGATCTGTTAAAGAAAGGTGAAGCTACCTCTTGTGAATACTTGCCAAGTGTTCTTGCATGTAATAAGTAACCATAATAAATGTGGAAGCGGGTATGAGTTGAATGTGAGAGCGACAGAATAAACACTATTGTGTTTAAACATCAAGTTCCTGAAAGCGTATTAAGCTTGCTTTGTTCGCTGTTGAGTTCATGGGATAAACATATGGAAACGAATTGTCTCGTGAAGGGTACGTTTTAAAAATTCAGAGGTGTTTTTCAGGTAATTAACGCTGCGCTGGCTCTGGCTGCTAAACCCCAAAGCAAGCTGGCTCAGGAAAACATGGACCTCTTCAAAGAGCAGTGGGAGAAGCAAGTCCGCGTGCTGACGGATGCTGTCGATGACATCACTTCCATTGATGACTTCCTGGCTGTATCAGGTAATCAGGGGGTTGATCTCAGAAATAATCGTTCTCCTAACCGAGCTTATTCCTGGAAACTGGGTGGTTTCTACACGTGTTCTGGAGCCTTCTCGGGTGTTTGGAAGGAGTGGTGTTGGTACGCATCACCTGGCAAGCGTCGTCTTCTGCTGAGCGAGGTGTGAAAACAGAGCAGGAGATCTTGGCACAAGGAGAAGAGGTATTTTTATAGCGTGAAAACGGTGATAGTTTAGTTCAGCAG